AGTGTTTGACATGCTCATGAAACAAAGAAACATACAAGAAAATCTCCTTTAAAAAACTGCTGGCCTCAAAAAAACCTTACAAAAGTGCTTTCGGACATTCTGTGCACTTTTTGGATTTCAGACTAAGATCAACTCAGTCAAAAGGCCAGCAAAGAAACTGAACACAAAACTGTAGTGTGAGACATCATAGAATCCCTACAGCATGGAAACAGGCCATTTGGCCTGACAAGTCCACACTGCCCCTCTGAAGAGCATCCCACCCAGAACCATTCCCCTGTATTTCCCATGTCTAACCCACCTAACCTTAACATCCCTGGGCAATTTAGCATAGCCAATCCACCTACCCTACACATCTTTGGAGGGTGGGAGGAAACTAGAGCACCTAGAGTAAACCCACACAGACATGGGGAGAATGTACAAATTCCACACAAACAGTCACCCGAGGTTGGAATCGAACCTGGGTCCCTGGCACTATGAGGCAGTAATGCTAACCACTGAGCCACCATGCTGTCCCCAACATGTATGCTACTGGCTCTGCAGGTTGACTAGTGACAATATTATGTCACTTGCTGTGTTGATGTATAGATTTACATAAATATTATTCCAATTAGTATACCTACTACAGCTAAAATATTGTCTTCACATATCCGGTCACAACAGCCCGTTTCCCTTAAATAAAAGATCCATGTATATTTCAACACCAATATGTACATCACTGTCCTCAATTATTGGTGTGGGCCAAAGTCACAGATATTTGAAATTGAACTTCTAACCAGCCCGCCTTGGCACTTGTACGCCCCGATGGCCACCTCCAAATTGCCTTCAACTCTATCGTCTCCACAGTAAGCATCCAATTTCCTGCTAGTTCTGTCCCAGTGGGGATGAGGCCTTTAAGGGGGCATGAATTGGCATGAATTTTTCAAGGACCGCAACTTCCCCCGCTCAGTGGTCGAGAACGCCTCGACTGTGTCTCCCACATTTCCCGCAACTCATCACTTACACCCCCTCCCCGCAATAACAACCAAAATAGAATCCCCCTCGTCCTCACGTGCCACCCCACCACCCTCCGGATCCAACGCATCATCCTCCGACACTTCCGCCATCTGCAATCCGACCCCACCACCAAAGACATTTTTCCCTTCCCACCCTTATCTGTTTTCAGGAGGGACCACTCTCTCCGTGACTCCCTAGTCCGCTCCACACTCCCCTCCAGCCCCACCACACCCGGCACTTTTCCCTGCAACCGCAGGAAGTGCTACACCTGCGCCTACACCTCCCCCCTCACCACCATCCCAGGCCCCGAGAAGACTTTCGACATCAAGCAGATGTTCACCTGCACATCTGCTAATGTGGTATACTGCATCCGCTATTCCCGTTGTGACCTCCTCTACATCGGGGAAACCAAGCGGAGGCTTGGGGACCGCTTTTCAGAACACCTACGCTCGGTTCGCACTAAACAACTGCACCTCCCAGTCGCGAACCATTTCAACTTGCCCTCCCATTCCTCAGACGACATGTCCATCCTGGGCCTCCTGCAGTGCCACAACAATGTTACCCGAAGGTTGCAGGAACAGCAACTCATATTCCGCTTGGGAACCCTGCAGCCCAATGGTATCAATGTGGACTTCACAAGCTTCAAAATCTCTCCTCCCCCTACCGCATCCCAAAACCAGCCCAGGTCGTCCCCCCCTCCCTAACCTGTCCTTCCTCCCACCTATCCCCTCCTCCCACCTCAAGCCCCACCCCCATCTCCTACCTACTAACCTCATCCCGCCCCCTTGACCTGTCCGTCCTCCCTGGACTGACCTATCTCCTCCCTACCTCCCCACACTCACCATTACTGGCTCCACCCCCGCCTCTTTGACCTGTCTGTCTCCTCTCCACCTATCTTCTCCTCTATCCATCTTTTATCCGCCTCCCACTCTCTCCCTATTTATTTCAGAACCCCCTTCCCCTCCCCCATTGCTGAAGAAGGGTCTAGGCCCGAAACGTCAGCTTTCCTGCTCCTCTGATGCTGCTTGGCCTGCTGTGTTCATCCAGCTCTACACCTTGTTATGTCATGAATTGGCCTCATTTGGCCTGCTAGCAGGCTACCCAATGCCTCACTACCCCACTTGCTAGTTAAATTGCAGCCTTGTTAGGTTGGGGCTCAGCTTTAGACAACCACTGTATTTTACATGCTCCTCCTCACCCCTTCTAACTATGCAGTAACGAAGTGTGACATCCAGCCCTATGTGCCACATGTTATATCTCCACATACATCCAGTTGGAAATTAAAATTTGTTCTAACTACTTCCAAACCATTTTCAATCTTCTGAACTTGACATCCATCTACTTTTATATTATGTTTACTGTGGTACTAATATCCTGTAAAAGACAGATATTCTAAGGCCCACTGATGACTTGGACACTCTAATAAGCAGAATGTAAGCATCCCCTTTCCTCAAGTCTTTCACTCATTCTGTAATGCAGAACCACTGCAAGCAAAAGAAATTGATCCATTAATAAAATATGATTCCAAAATCTGATGTCTTCAAAATTATACTGAATAATTCACTTTAGAGTTAATTATTCTAATGTCTGATCTTAAGAGGAAGAAGCAATATTGAGAGCTGATGCATATTTCAATGCAATGTTTATTTCCTCATCAATAATAAAACTATGGTAGATGGAGAAGGCATAAGGAACTTTACCAATTAACTAGCTGAATATCAGCAATTGTGTCAAGAAGATCTCAACATATTGGAAAATACTAGTCAGACAACAGCGGCAACTTTCTCAAATGAGAGAATGACACAGTATGGAGTCACTCAGCCAATCATGCTTGTGCCAGCCCTTTAGGTGGCACTTACAATTTGTTTCATTCCCTTGCCTATTCCATGTCATCACATCCTTCCACTATGTAACAGGGTGGAAATGCTGTAAATCAAATCCACTGGGGATGGATAGCTTTGTATGATACATATTGTCAGTAGCTGAAGAAACCAATTCATAAGGTGCACGCTGTGTTACAACTGCTGGATATGTCGTAAATATCAAGATACAACCACAAATTGTTGTTTGTGGTGTAAGCACCAGTTGCCAAGCTGTTGAAGCCACTGATTGTCATGTTGGGAATCAAGTGATGTCACCAAGCCTCTCTGTCATCAGATGCAATGGTTGATGTTTAGGGCCTTCATGTAATGCTTGCAACCATCCTGGAAGCAGAATTTTGGGCTCTGATGGTGCTGGCCTTCTCATTCTAACTACTTTACCACACAGAAAATGACTGGGTAGGTATTCATTGGTGATCCATCCTGAAAATGTGCCCAAACGAGCAAAGTCACCTCTGTTTGATGAGTACCATTATATCATAGATATGCCTTTGAGAGGCGTGTTGCACCCATGATTATGTCATTCTACATGATCCCACAATGTGCCATGAACACCAAAGATGAAAGTTGTTGAGTTTCCCTCTTTGGTAACTGTAGACTTTCCATGAGTCCTTGCAGTTCAGGTATTTAGCTAATTTCTTTTTAAGAGTTGTCATTGAATTCACTTCCGCTTTCAGGTTATTTCCCTTTCTCCTTGGAATCTGTGACAGAACTGAATGAATTTGTGAACTGATTTTTGCCAATTTCATTTTGAAAGTTTCCTTTAAAAATAAAAGTGAATGAATAGACTTTTGCTTCAAAAAATAGGTATTCTATATATAAACAGGTCACTGAAAAAATCCAATTGTTTGGTTTAATGTAGCTGTATTAAATGGTACTATTTGCAAGACATTGTCATTTTATTTGCCAATACAAAGTCAGAATTTTGAGTTCATCAGTTGTCTGTAATTCAAATCGAAGAAAATGGATTTTAAGTCTGGGCATGAATGTGGTCTACTAAGCTGCTAACTCATCTGGAAGTGGCACTGGGGAGCCAGGACAAATTTAACCAAAAAGCTTGTAAGTCAGCAGGACTCAATAAGACTGGGAAGTGGGAAGACACAAAAATAGAAATTGCTGGAGAAATTCAACATCTGTGAGAAGAAAGCGGAGTTAACATTTTGAGCCCGGTGACTCGTCGTCAGAACAGGAAGGATGCTACTGAGGACAAGAGGCAAGCATTCAGATAGTCTTCAGAAGAGATATCCAAAATAAATTGCTGTCAGGAAATGAAGGAGGGGAAGCTCACAGCAAGGCAGATTCAACATTTCCTTTTGTCTACCGGAAAGCTTTTTACTTGGTAAACTGACTTTGCTGGACTCTGTTCATCTTCCTGTCAGCTTTTGTAAATCTTCAGTCACTGCTCAGGCTTCTGGTTAAAAATGCAGTCAGACCCCATTGCCTTCATCATAGTTTGATCTGCTTATTTCAAGAAACACTCTGCCTGCTCCACATTAAGACCTCTCCACCTTAATCAATTGGTCTTTCCAAATTTCCAATGAATTAGGCAGCCCACCAAACATTGTGATGCATTATTATAGTCACAAATCAATCTCACTACTTGATTATTCACTGGAAAACCTACATTCAAACATAGGCTGAGTTTGTGTTAAATCTGCATTAGTTCATCTCACCAAAACCAATGTATTTATATAGGCATCACAGATAGTAAGAACTGCTGATGCTGGAGTCAGAGATAACACAGTGTAGAGCTGGAAGAGCACAGCAGGCCAGGCAGCGTAGAGGAGCAGGAAAGTTGATGTTTCAAGTCAGGTCCCTTCTTCAGAAATTTCTCCTCTGATGCTGCCTGGCCTGCTATGCTCCTCTAGCTCCACACTGTATTATCCCATATTTATATAGGCATTCCAGGTTCACTAGTAGAAACATCTTTCCTCTTGTGGTCTGGTCTTTTGGTTGTAGTTTGGTCTGTTTTGTTCATTGTGGTCTGCTTGTTTCGTCTTACCCCCTAAAATTTTGTTAATTCAGTTTGCTGGTTCTCCTCTGTTTTGTTTGGTTCGGTTATGTTGAGTTGTTTTCTACTTTCTTCAGTTATTTTTTTGTCTGCTCTCTTTTGTTCTGGCTTTACAGATGCCATTGAGGACAATGGAGAAGGTATTGCATTTCTTTTACTTGCTTGAAATCTATGGTTCTGGTTTTGCACTGCCTCCTGTCTAATTTCCATGGATGAAATAGGCCTTAGGGACTTTCAAGCAAAACACATACAGAAATACAATGAGAGAGTGTGTCCTGCTGCTGTCCTTTATTATTACTTTCCAACACACATGAAAAATTGTACGATGTAACAGAAACCACAACTGGTTCCTCTGTGAGCAGCATGTTGTTGCTAAGAACTAGATTTAAGACAATTCTAGCCCTAATTTTCAAATGTCTGCTCAGTACATTTGTACTGAGATGGATGTGATGGTCTGGTCTGTTCTATTAGTTATCTTACTTCAGCCCAGTAATGTCCTACAAAGATCTGTGTGAGGGCCTCAGTTATTCACAATGTTTATTAATGTCTTGGATAATGGCATAGAAAGTCATATATCCAAGTTTGCAGTTGACACAAAGTTAGGCGGCATGATAGACAGTGTAGATGATAGCATAATATTACAGAGGGGTATTGATAAACTATGTGAATGGGCAAAACTGTGGCTGATGGAGTTCAACGTTAGCGAGTGTTTTGGATCAAGAAAGGATAGATCAGGGTACTTTCTAGATGGTTTAAAGTTAAATAAAGAGGACGTCCAAAAAGACTTGGAGTTTTTGGCCGCATAGATTTTTAAAATGTCACAAACAAGTACAGAAAATAATCAAGGAAGCTAATGGAGTGCTGGCCTTCATATCTAGAGGACTGGAGTACAAAAATGCAAAAGTGATGCTATAGTTATACAAACCCTGGTTAGACCCCATTTGAAGTACTGTGAGCAAACCTGGCCACCACACTTTGAGAATGATATGCTGACCTTGGAGGGTGCACAATGTAGGTTTACAAGAATGATGCCTGCACTTCAGGGTTAAATTATAAGGAGAGATTATACAAACTAGGCCTATTTTCTCCAGCATTCAGAAGTTAAGGATTGATCTAATCAAAGTTTTCAAGATATTATCTGGTAAAAAAACAGAGTAGATAAACTATTTCCACTGGTTGGGGATTCTAGAATCAGGCAGCAGAACATGAGAATTAGAGCCAGACCATTCAGGAGAGATGTTAGGCAGCACATATACACACAAAGGATGGTGGATGTTTAAAACTCTTGTCTGCAAATGGCAGTTGATGCTGGATCAGTTGTTAATTTTAAATCTGATGTAGATTTTTTTTTGTTAAGCAAAGGTATTAAGAGATATGGGCCTAAGACAGTTATATGGTATCAGGTCACTTCAGCCATGATCTCATTGAATGATGGTATAGACTTCAGGGGCTAAATGGCCTAGTCTTGTTTCTATGTGCTCACCACTGTGGAGGTAATGTTAATAATGATGATTATAAACCAAACAATTAATTTTGTTGGAGTCTCTCATCTCAAAAAAATGTAATAAAAATGTTTATTTATCCATCAAAGCTACGCTATCAAAGGTTACATTACACTACCAGTATTGGTATGATTTCAATATGAAGTGTGAAGTTCAGGCAGCAGACCCATGATGCTGTAATTGTGACTTGCTCTGAGCTTAGTGGTAATTTAATCCTTTAAAACTGTACATGGAACCAAAGACAGGGCCCTTTTTTATCATGCAGTTAACATTTAATGCAATGAGAAAGTAGGTAAATTCTTTCTCATCACATCAAAAATATAGAAAACTACGTTTCCGAGATTCTCAAGAGCACTCTTAATCTTTGCAGTGAGTAGCAATTATGCTTCACTAAATTCACATTGGTGTAAGATAGCTAGCCTTATATTGTTTTATTAGCAGTTGATTTACTTACTTGACACAGGATTGAAACAGTTACTCTCGTGTCAGTTGATTTGAATACTACTACTTTGAATCAACATGAAAATGGCACGTTAACTTCTGGAAAAAATGCACAAACATATCAACCCAAATTTTCTCCGAGCTGTTCTAAATCAAAAGTTAAAAATCCTCTTCATTCCTTGAAAATGTAGCATGAATGATTTATTAGATATTATTTTGACTCAGTGATTATTTGTAAGGCATTCATAAAGTCCTTTTATCGACTGGGAATCCTCACAATAGCTATATATAAATAGAAACTCTTAACTCAGGACGTGACAGTGAAGTTATACAATTGTATAAAATTGGGGAACAGTTTGAAGCTCCAAATTTCTGCTTTCCTCTGTTAGAGTGTGCTTGCATTAGATGTCACCAGAACTATGTTTTTAAATCTATGCATTGGTGTTGCATTAATCCTTCTTTTTTGAATGCAATGCATTTAACAGTCTCAATTACATATTTACAAAAGCAAATTACAGCGAATACTGAAATCTCAAATAAAAACAGAAAGTGCTGGAAGCACGCACGAGATCAGGCAGCCTCTGTGGAAAGAGAATTTTGTTGATCTTCCATCAGAATTAAGAAAATTTTAAAATGTAATATATTTCAAGCCAGTGAAAGGGGAGGGAGGATAAGAGCAAAAGGGAAGGTGTATGATAGGGTAGGAGGCAGGAGAGATCCAATGGCAAAAACTTTGGGTGAAGAGTGTGGTCATGGGACAAATTGTTCCAATGAAGTTTAAAGTAAGTTCAAGTAACAGCAAATAATGTTTTTCTTGGCATTAATTCACCACAAGGTAATAGCTGGTAGTAGGATTAATACAGAGCAGAATAAAGACAGTTCGAGAACTCGATTCGGCTCCTCGTTTTTTTCCAGGAAGGGAACTCAGCTCTGTTTGAAGATTAAATAGAGTATCTTTTTTTAGGGAAAACTGTGAACAGGGATTGATTCCCAAAGAGTGAGTACAACAGTGCATGCGTAGCTGGATCATGGTGGCTTTTCTTTTGTGTTGGGAACAAACACTGTGTTTTTGACTAGGCACTCTGCAACTGACGTGCCAGACTTCACAATGACTTCAACAATTTCAAACCATAAACTGTGCTCCCATTTTGTTTCCTTTTACTTTGCAACTAGTCAGTTTTAGTTTTGATTTTCTCCTGCATTTCCTTCAGGATGTTGGTTGTTCCTTAATGTGCCATTTACACAGGTTCCAGCCAAACCTTTCATGTCTTTATTTATCCCATTAATCACCTTGCTTTCCTCAGTATCACGTCAGCCAGAAAATCCTGCCCACTGACTCTGATTCTCTCCCCACAGATGTTATATGACCCACAGAGTATTTCCAGCTTTTTCTGCTTTGGTTTTAATAAGAAGTTTCTTGGATGCTTTAGATGCTAGATCCACGAAAATAATTGTACTGCCATGCTACTATGGCAAGATCAAAGTCCAGCAGACTTTCTGGGAAAACACTGACTTAATATATTTTTAAAATAATGTCTTAGCTAAGAATAAGAGTTAGATTTAAATTAAAACGTGTCAGTGACAGAACGGTTAGTGCAGTGATAATGTTGAGATAATCACGTAAAGTCAGTTTTTTCCTTCGAGACCAACCCTTTAGGGCCTGACAGACGTTACGTTTGGAAGAAGTAAGAAAAAGTGCCTACTTTACCAAAAAATGCTCATTATATGTTGCTAATTGTGTCCAATAGATGATATATGTCACTTTACCAATTAAGTTTCTGATTGTTGTAACTGTCAGAACTATGACTGGCACAGTGAATGATAACTGTCATTATGTCACTTTGTACAACTACTTCAAAAAATTATTTGAATCCTCACTAATTTACATGGGCCATTTATCTTGTGACCTGGTATGTTCCTCTGAGTAATGTCTTACTCAATCCTAACAACATATAATATGGAATGTTTAAACTAGATGTGGTTTGATATTGATTTCATTCTTCTTGCAGCCGGATCCTGCTGGGAGAGATTTTGCAATCCAACCTTTGCTGGAGCACTGTGAAAATTCCCACATGAGTATTTGGCTGGGTATTGTGTATGCATATAAAGGACTTCTGATGGTAGGAATTGCACCGTTTTTATTTCAGAAAAGTTTCTGAATGGATCACAGTGTTGTCACATATTTTCAAATTTGGATTTTCTTTGACATTCTCTGTTATGTTTGACCAAAGCCATGTGTTCAAACTGTACCAGAGACTCCAGTTTTACCTCCTGATTGTACTTTCCTTTCAAAATGTTAGTCAAATTCAACCCAGTAGTTATGGGCTCAACGTTCTGCTCAATGTTTTCTATATGTTCCATTTCTTCATTTGTCTTACTTAGTTTCATTTTTTAAAAATCCTATTATTTTGTCATGAAGGAAATAGTTAGCAAGTGAAAGGAATTGAGAGACCAGAAGGCACAAAGCAAGAAGCTAGCTTCATCAAAGCTCTTGTTAAATATCCTTTCATTGTAAATTTTGTTATTAGTGGATAAGCACTTACTGTAAGCATGTAAACTCCCCCTGTTATTTTAACACAAGTGTTTTCCTAGTTATTTTAAATTCATTCACACACTCAGATTGACTTAAGCATTTGTTTACTAATATTGCAAACAGTATTTTAAGCGAACTGATATTCTTTTTCTTTTTTAGTTGTTTGGATGTTTTCTTGCTTGGGAAACACGTAATGTAAGCATCCCGGCACTGAACGACAGCAAGTACATTGGAATGAGTGTCTATAACGTGGGAATCATGTGCATAATAGGAGCTGCTGTTTCATTCCTAACTCGAGATCAGCCAAATGTCCAATTCTGTATTGTGGCTCTGGTGATCATTTTCTGCAGTACTATCACTCTCTGCCTGGTTTTTGTGCCAAAGGTAGGTGGAATGAGAAGTTATCAATAAAAAGTGTTAATGTATTACTTGTTTAAGGTTTGGTATTGATGTAATTTTTTTAACATCCAAATACATTTCAGGGCTGATCTTTTGTTGGTGGAGAACCTCAACTAGTAGACCGTGTAAGTCAGGAAAGTGCTGGAAATTCACTGACTGTGAATACTCTACGAACTAATGGCCAACAGTGATGTGTTATATCAACAAAAAATAACAGAGACTTGGATGGATATTAGATAGAACATCAAATAGATGGACAGATACTTTCAATGCTGCACTCATAAGCATATCTCCTTTCTAGTTGGCAAGTGATATCTCCCTCATGCAACAAGCATCATTTGTTCAAAGGTGAGAAATCAGACTTTCACCTAAACCAACAGCACAGGACAACATCAGGCCAAAAGAAATAAAACAGAAGGCTCCAACAACAAGTTTCCATGCATGCAACCTTCTCTCCTATTTCAATGGGGGCATTAACTCTCTTGCTGTTCTTCACAGTAGAGACATAGGATCTTTTACACTTTCCAGAGAGGGAAGAAAGCCCTTTGGTTTAACTTTTGATCCAAAACTTGCTATCACTGGCAGTGCAACATCAATTCAACTTAAATTTTGCATTCAAGGCTCTGGAGTGAGATTTGAATGCATGATTTTACCAACTGAGTCACAGGCAGAGACTTTTAAAGTGTGCAAGAAATATAGAAGTGGAGGGTTCTGTCGAAAGAATCAGTCAAAACATACTGTAACTTTGGTGACAGACTGGAAGGTATGATGGAAAACAGCACAACTGACTGAAAATGACACTTGAAACCGTTTTCCTGGGATATCTACTGATCTCCCACCATCGTTTCAACGGGAGATTAATGGTAGCTCAGAACTGAAGTGTTTAAAGTGAGTATTGGGCCAGGTCAGCATAGATATTCCACATCCAGATTCAGGTGAGGAGGTAAATGAGTTGGTACCAGAGATTTGGGGGAAGCTGAGATCAGACAAGATTGTGACAGAGAAAAAAAGGGTAAGGGCATAGAATCGATGCTTGTAGTTCTGTTGGCATTTACCTGTAACCCACTATATATAAACACCAGTCGAGAGTGAGGTGCGATTCCAGAAAAAAAATTCTGGACTTATATTTGTCTAGCTATCATCCCTGGGATATCATGGAGAAATGAAGATTGCCCAGAGTAACAGCAGTATTGACTTTAATTTCTGAACACAAAGGTGCAGAGCATGAAAGGCACCACCAGTTAAGTCCCTAGCCTTCACCTTTGCAAGTCTAGTTCTAGGACAAACCCCTTTACGATCCATAACCGTCTCTTCTCATCTTCCTTCCTGACCCAGACAAAGTTCATGGGACCAGAGTGAGCTGCTTTTATTTCAGCATCATCTTGGTTATTCAAGACATTAGAGACTCATTCAAAGTGCCACTATGCCAGGACATCTGGTACAGATGCCCATCAACAATAGACTAATGAAGGAACCTGCTCTGACCCTGGAAAGTGTCAGTCACAAAAGCACCTGAGCACCGCGACTGACAAATTTCAGGGCAAGGTTGCAAAAGTTGACTGTGAATTTACCTTACTTGGCAATTTCATCTTTGTGAGCAATGCAAGAAGTTCACTCCTGGGAGGCAGTATTTATTTTAAAAAACTTACAGTTTGTTCAGTGAAACTTGTATAAAAAGTAAATCATGATGTGTGCACATCCAGGAACTGTGAGCATTTGCAAAGCTCAGTTGTCATTAAAAACCTTATCAATAAGTGCATCTAAACTGACCATCAACTGAATCCCAGTGAAGGCTCATGATCCAATGTTTGCAACTCCCAACCCCCTCCTTTACTCAATGGCCTTCAAAGGAGCAGCCAGAGGCTCCATCCCAGAAAGTTTATCACTAAATTGGGATCTGACATAACCGAGTCCTGACCTAGTTGTGGCAAGAGAACCCCTGAACAGCCAGAGATTTTTTTATAGCTGTTTGAGTAAGTATGTTGCACTAAAGTATCCTTTCCTTGGAACTCTCCCTACAGCTGATAACATTACGAACAAATCCAGATGCAGCCACTCAGAACAGGCGATTGCAATTCACCCAGAATCAGAAGAAAGAAGACTCAAAGACATCAACTTCCGTAACAAGTGTGAACCAGGCAAATACATCTCGACTTGAGGGGTTTCAGACTGATAATCATCGTTTGCGAATGAAAATCACAGAGGTGCTCACTTTGCTTTGAATCCTATCTGCTCAATACTCTTTCTATGAATCACATCAACAGATGTCTTTAGCTGGAGGCAATGACCTCGTGGTATTATCGCTGAACTGTTAATCCAGAGACCCAGATAACATTCTGGGGACCCAGATTTGAATCCCATCACGGCAGATGGTGGAATTTGAGTTCAATAAAAGATATCTGGAATTAGGAATCTAATGATGACCATGAATCCATTGTCAATTGTCAGGAAAAGCCCATCTGGTTCACTCATGTCCTTTAGGGAAGGAAACTGCCATCCTTAACCTGGTCTGGCCTACATGTGACTCCAGACCCACAGCAATGTGGTTGACGCTGAACTGCCCTCTGGGCAAGTAGGATGGGCAGTAAATGCTGCCAAGTTAGTGACGCCCTCATCCCATTAATGAATAAAGGAAAAAAAATTCAAACAAAGACAGCTGAAGTTCCAGTAAATATCCTAGAGAAGAGCAATTGTTTGGAAACTCAAAGAAAAATTATAATTAATATCTATACAGGTTAATATGAGGATTACCAGTAAAATCAAGGCAGGCAGTGGCTACCCAGATGCCAACCAGAATTAATCTCTTAAATTTGTGTTACTAAATTAGACAAGTAAGTAGCCCCTATCGCCGTTCAAGCAGGAATTTTCATATTCTGAAAATGAGTCAATCTTTTAGCAAATGGAAGAAGTGTTTTCAGTTTCTGAATGTGTTTACTATACGTTTCTCTCCGAATTTTCCTTTGGTCATCCAGATTACTTCAAGATAAATCAGGAGATATGTTATATAGCATTTCAAAACTGTCAGATTGCAAATACTTTTACCTTTAATGCATATTAATGGTAACTGATACAATTTTTCAAGGGCAAGTCCTTGTTTGGGTCTAGGCCCGAAACGTCAGCCTTCCTGCTCCAATGATGCTGCTTGGTCTGCTGTGTTCATCCAGCTCTACATCTTGTTATCTATGCTTTTATATATTTGTTTTCTTCTGGTGATTGTCCAACTGAATATGATAATTTAGTTTCCACTGGGCTATTCAACTATGCACGGGACATGATGAGAGCCACTTGTAGAGTTCATGAATCTGTGGTGATCTCTGGGAACAGAAAAATTTCCAACTCTTATCTACAACTTGGACATGGTACATTGCAATTAAATTCCTTGAGGAACTGATGCTTAGAACTCTCTGTTTGCTTCTAGTTTAGAAAAGGTCACAACAACTCGCATAGGCATAATTGAATCTAAACTGTATTCATTGAAGTTGCGTATTTCCCTTTACAGCTTGACAAAGAGCTGGAGGAGGTTACCATGCAGTTACAGGACACGCCTGAAAAGACGCAGTACATTAAGCAAAACCATATTCAAGAGCTCAATAACATCCTGAGCATACGGAACTTCACAGATGGAAAAGGTAGGAGCATCTGTTTATAATACCCTTAGCAAATTCAGCAACACTTTAAAGGAGACACAGCCAGTGGGTTTTTGACATTGTTTAATAATTTTTGATGTATGGCAGCAAATTATAGGTATTAATTTAAATTATCTTTGCTGCAAATTACAATATTTTAGTACATTTGTCCTGAAAGACTCTTTTTATGCAGTTAACAATTTCCAAACTAACTTAGGTAACCTTGGACAAGTTATCTGAAAGACTGGAGTCTAATGTACAGAATCTGTATTTCTTGTTTTCCTTGCCTGGACTCTAGCTCTGGTTGTTCTCTGATGTGCAGTGGAGAATGTGATCCTGAGAACAGGACTGAAGAAATATCAAAGCCAAATAGATTAGATTTTTCTGGGCGACTAGATTTTATAGTGTTCCATTACTGAAGGGATTACATAGAGATACCTGTTCAGGACAAGTAGAAGTTACATAGGTTCTTATAACTCTGATTTACAAGAAATAGCGAATAAAATATTAAGACAGTATGAAGAAGGAGTTAAACTGTGTTAGGTCAAATATTCAAATACATTTCCTTCTAGTTTTTGCTTTGGAAAGCTTGACAAGTATTGACAGAGGAAATTAATTATCTTTCCCAACATTTTAAAGAATCTTTATTCCCATCAGTTTAAGTATAAATCTTTAACCATTATCAGTAAGGTTTGGGATTATTAGGCTTAATCCTATCATAAATTGACTGTCACATTGATGAATTTCTCTCAAGCTCTAGTGAGATTTCTTGGGCTAGCTTCCCAAACTCACCTCATTACCTGTGCACCCCACCCCCATGGTGCCCTGATCATTGCCTACTTATCACAGGCAGAAGTACTGGCCATTCCTGGGACCTCCCAAGATTCTGGCCACAATCTTTAAAGCCCAGCGGTGTGTTATGTATGTAGTTGGAGATGCTTGCTGTCCCTTTAAGAGAGTCAGGTGATTCAGAATGGGAGCTTTGGGCCAATCTAAGTCTGACTGTGTAGCTGTAAAGAGATGTAACAAATCATTCCTGGCCTACCTCGTGGTCTATATATAATTTATAAATTGACCTAAACATAATATTGTGTGCTAGTCAAGCAGTGGAAGTGTACAGTTGGCCTACATGGTCTCTTTTGTTTGCCACAGACACATCAGATGAAGGGTAATTGGCATCCCACTTTGCTGATTAGGACCTGGACATTCTGTTGAACAGGAGGTTGTGCACATTTGCTACTGTCCTAAGGTTTTGACTGATATTGACTGAAATCCAGAAGGGAAACTGGCAAGTTGGATTTGCCAAGTTACCACGCTGTCTTTCAGATCAGGAATTCTTACTGTCTAGTTTCAGTGCACCGGGTTTGAGAATGAGAAACCACATATCAAGTTCATAATGCTCTTCAAGTTTAGCTCAGTTGGCTGGGTGGCTGGTCGGTGATGCAGAGTGTCACCAAAAGCCTGGGTTCAATTCCTCCACCAGCTGAGGTTGCCATGAAAGGTTCTCCTTCTCAACCTTTCCTTTGTATAATGGGGTGGCATGGTGGCTCAGTGGTTAACACTGCTGCCTCACAGTGCCAAGGACCTTGGTTCAATTCCAACCTCTGGCAACTGACTGTGTGGAGTTTGCACTTTCTTCCCATGTCTGCATGGGTTTCCACCAGGTGTTCCAGTTTCCTCCTACTGTCCAAAGATGTGCATATTAGGTGGATTTGCCAAACTAAATTGCCCGTAGTGTTCAGGGATGTGTAGGTTAGGTGCATTAGCCATGGGAAATGCAGGGTTACAGGGATAGGGTGGGGGATTGGGTCTGGGTGGGATGCTCCTTGGAGGGTCAGTGTGGACTTGTTGGGCTGAATGGCCTGTTTCCACACTGTAGAGATTCTATGGTCCATATCAATAAAGTGAGATGACGTAACAAAGGGGATGTTAATTATATGCTAATTCTAATTCTAATTCATGCAAGTAGGCCTCTCAGTGCTCAATAACAAGATTCCTATCTCACCGCCCAACACTTCCTTGAAAAACGGGAATTTTTGCTGTCATCAGCAGGAAGCTCCTCACTGCCGATCTTGCACGATTCTCTAAACTTTCTCGTGAAAGTCCACATTACTCAGGGCTGGGAAGATTCCAGTTAATGTGATGATTAGCAGACAATCTTCCTTGGCAAAACGGAGGTTAACAGAGGGATTTACTTAGCAGCTATTGACTCATCTCAGGCACAAATCCAGCTTTTTAATTTGTATTTTAAAGACTGCATCAGGAGAGACCTGTATCTCAATGAAGAAGGCATGGTGACCTTGCACCAATTCTTCCCCAGCGCTCAGTGACTTACTGGGGCCATTGCTTGTGATTGTCTCTGTGCTATGTCTGCACAACCAAACCTCAGGTTCATGTTGTTGAGGCTATAGTAGCAGCTGTGGATCAGGAAATGATGAACAGTCACTGAAGTTGCAGGCTGCTTCCTATGGTCTGAGGAACAAAACATTCAGAACAACCCTGAATCCTGTTCCACCATTTAGTTAGAGCATGGTGGATCCGTATCTTAACTGCTTCACCCACCTTGAATCAATAATTATTAATAACCTTACCTAACAATCAATTCCATTCTTGAAATTTTCAATTGATTAGCTTTCTAGAGGAGACATCACCAGCTTGTGTGAAGAATGCTTTCTCATTGCTGAATGATCCAATTCCATTTTAAGGTTATACTGCATTGGTTTAGACTCATCCCTTGCACAGGAAATAATTTCTCTGGGAAGGTCTTGTGGTGCAGCGGTATCATCCCTCACTCTGAGCCAGAAACTCTCGGTTTAAGTCCCACTTCAGGATTTAATGGCTACATAATGTGGCCTTACTGGTTGATTATCAGTTTATAAGTATATCTAATATACATGTGGCAGGCAGTAAGAGTGGGAGTGTTTGCTCATCATCCAAAACCACAGTGTAACAGCCTCTCCATATTAAAAGTCTCCGTGTGCAGGTTCTTGCTATGAGCCATGTTCCCTCTAGTTTTTTTCTGCTGCTGTGTGATCTCTAAGGTCCGCGCATAGCAGCGGCTTCTGGAACAGGAAGTCAGTGCTTCCTCACACTGACTCGCCTGTGTGGTAGTGGGAATATTGACCAAGAGTAAGTGCCATTCTCATTTTTAGGGGCTAGCACACAATTGCTCTCTTTCTGCAAAATCAAGTCCATTTATCATCTTAGGCGCATCAATTAGATAACAGCTTAGTCTCCTATATTAATGAAAATACAAGGAACCTCTACTTAAAAATTACCCATATGGCATTGGCATCATTCTGGTGCATCTGCACTGCACCCTCTCCAAGGCCAGAATAATCTTTCTGAGGTGTGATATCCAGATTGCGTGTAACACTCCAGAGCAGGGTACCTGGAGTTCTGTAAGGCCAGGAAGGAGGGAATTTGTGTGTCTTAGAAATGGCTTTTTTATTCCTGTTTGTAAACTGTGACATTTGCTTTCAATCAGTGGGTGAGTGAAAGGGCAGTGCTAAATTACACAGATGCATAAAGTGGAACTACATATGACAATTCATGATTAACTTTTATCGATGCCCTCTTCCCAGCTCCCCCTCTCCTACAGACTCTCTGTCCATTTGACTATTATTTTTAACATTTCTTCCTGTTATCTAGAGTTTAATACAATATTATTCTTCCCCTCACTTATTGCTATGCCATATTAGTTGTATTGTTTATGAATGGAAAAACAAAAACATTATGGGCCTGTGGGTGTCATGGACATTGGTCCCATATGAAATTATGGTTGTCACAAGGATGAGAGCTTAAGGGAGTCTTATTCCTAAAAGAAGTGCCCTAAAAGATGAGTAGAAAACTTTTAGTGGTGAAATCATTTCAGTAGGTAGCTTTCAATAAGAAACGTGGCTTCATGTTCTGAAAAGTTTCTCTTCAAAGCTGTGAGTTTTCATAACAAGGATGTATATTGACAGTGGAGCCTGGACTCCTCTTGGTTCATACTGTGAGCTCACTGAAACTCTTTCAGCATGTGGTTTTTGTGGTGAAGAAGGTTTTTCAGACTGATTTTCACTCACTAATAGCCTTTGCTGCTTCCCTCTAGTAAGCCTGCATCATGAGGCCTCCTAACTTGCTTTCCATCAGATGATCCCTTCCTTTCTACCAGCAGGAGATGGACTAGTACATCAGGTAATAAAGAAATAAATGCAGGTTTCAGCAGCAGATGAGTGGAGACAGCAACAAAGTTGGGTACTTCTGCCATCTTGCTGAGAAGTGGCGTTGCCCTTTAACTGGGTTGAAGTAGTTCTTTCCCCGACGAGCTTCCAACATCATATTTGTTCCATTTCTGAGACCACTTATTTCTCTCGTTGTAACAGTATTCAACTTTGCTGCTGTCTCAACTCATCTGCTGGTAAAACCCACATTTATTTCTTCATTACCTGTGGACTTAACTATTCCATTACTCTGCCTGTCTCTTAACATTTCAACTCTGTGCTGTCTGACCTACATTGACTTCTGATCATGAATTTAGAATTCCCATTGACTCACATTTCCCAGTCTCTGTAATCTCCCCCAGCCTTGTGGATATCAGCACTACTCTATTGCTAGCCTCTAGTGCCAGCCCACTTCTATTTGTTACCTAGTGATGGCTGCACCTTTTGCTGCACAGTTTGAAAGCTCTGGAATACTCTCCCTATACTTCTCTGCCTCTCCTCTTCACTTTCCGCCTTTAAGGTTGACTCTTAACATCCTTCTGTGATGATCTAGCAGTCATTCAGTTCAGAGGGCAATGCGGGGTGGGAAACAGATGCTGCATTTTGCCAGAAACAGCCACATGCCACATCCCATAAAAGGTTCATTAAATTGGTTCCTTGGATAAGAGGATAGGCAGATAGGACCTATATGCTGTGGAGTTGAGACGAATAAGAAGTGACCTGTTTGAAACGTAAAAGATTCTGAAAGAGTTTGATGGGGTAAGCACAGAGGATATTTGCCTGCTAAAGTATCTGGAATTCGGAGGTACAGCCACTGGGTAAGGGGTCCATCATTTAGGACTGAGTTAGAGATAAATTTCTTTACTCGGACATTTGTGGCTGTTCTATCATTGAGAATATTCAAATCTAAGATGAACAAATTTTTGGTCTCCATGGATTAGATGGGGAGCATGAATATAATGAATGGAAGAACTGACTCCAAAGGGCTGCAAGGTCTCATCCTCATCCAGACAACTGCATTTTCAACAGGTTGTTTAAATATTAATGAAGCTGAGAGGCTCTGGGAATATGCTAGCACCAGGAAATTGTACACACCACCAAGCACTATCATAATTGCACAGCCAGGTTGACAAAATCATCTTGTCATGATAATATGAAGTTTTGTGTTTTTTTCAAACTTTAATTTTCCTTGCCACTATTACACACATACAAAAACATATAGGGCTAAAACTGGGTTTACCTTGTGTTTGGGCAGAAAGGTCATGATTTGTGGCTGCCCATGTCAATACAGATCGTCCTGCTGGGGGCACAATTTTTGTGTACCCACCTTTTCTGCATATTTATAGCATTGCCCTGAGTAGTTCTATCATTGATTTCTGCTGCTTCAAACTGATTGCGGCCTTTATGCAGAGCAGAGGGTCTGTTGTGTTGCTAGTTGCACAAAGGCATGGTTGTATCTCAAAGAAAACCAGTGCAAACAAATAAACTTTCTACAGTGAAAATGATTGCGAAATGGATGCCCAGATAGACAAAGAGTTACAGAGTGATGGCTACAGGCTTTAGGTATTATTACAGGTGGAGATAGGCAGCAAGATAGAGACATGAGTTTCACAATGGGTGGAGAGGACAGCAAGAGATGCTCAAAGACAACCCTTAGAAGGAAGTGGGAGTATATAGCTAGAGAGGATAACTTCTGGAGCCTGGATCTATTCTCTCCTGGCCCTTTCTGCTCTCACAAAGTATCAAAGAATGTGGGCACAGCCTGTGCACTCCTTCCAGCTACCTCAATTGTCTCTTTGCAAACCATTGTCTTCTAATCTCCACACTTCTGTATTTCATTGGATAGTAAGTCCTTTAATCGGGGGAGGTCATATCTTGCATGTCTGTATCACACCTGTTCATGTGCAATGGAGATGGGAAATTCCCACCCATTTGACAGTGTTCCCCTTTTGTGACTGGCTATTGCTTTGCATGCCCTATTCCTTTCTCATTTCTTTATCAGTAGTTTTAAATTGTGAGACAAGCTTTTCTACCTCTCTGGTATTGGAAATGTAATTACCTCAGATATAAGCCATTCTACATCGAAAGAGGCAGTTATAAAAAAGCATGAAGCTTCTTATAAACTGTTTGGTTTTATTACTAACAAAATAATTCTGCTAGGAATTTCCTTGGAAGGTACTATTCTGATCAGCTGATGTAGTGTTTGACTGAAGATCAGTAGAAACTTTGCTAAAATTTAACTGGAAATTCCTGACATTTAAATCTTCAAATCCATTACTATCATTACTAATACATTTGCCCCATGAACCCAATGCTTCATAATTTTGAATGTAAATTATTTAGAAGCTTCCTAACGATTTATTCCAACTCCTATTCATTAATTCAGTGCCAGTAAATAAGTAAATAAGCTTTCTCATGGCGCTGCACATGAGAAAGAACATCAAGGACTTATCAAAGCTGCAGAAGAGATTTAGTGGAATGGTACAGAATCTTCAGTTATGTAGAAAAATAGAAGTTGTTCTTCTTTGAGCAAAGAAGGTTAAATGAAGGTTTGGTGGTGTTCAAAATCATGAAAAGTTTTGATAAAGTAAATCAAGGTAAGCTGTTTCAAGGGACAGAAAGCTTGGTAACCAGACGGCGCAAATTTAAAGTAATTGGCAAAACAATCGCAAGTGACATGAAGAAAAAAAACTTTTTACACAATAAGTTGTTATGTTCCAGCATAGGCTGCCTGAAAAGCTGGTGGAAATGGATTCAAAAATAACTTTGAAAAAGAAATCCTTGAAATGGAAAAAGTGCAGGGCTACAGAATAAAAATAGGGGAGTGGGACTAATTGCCTACACTTTCAAAGATCTGGCACATATATACAGTCATTCTACCTTTTCATTTCGCTGATGGTGAGTTATTTTATTTTTTTCTGATTTGCGTTCCATAATCATGTGAGGATGGAGTCCTGCAGAGTGCAAAATTCATATTATCACATTTCTTTATAGATAGTGACAAGCCTCTAATGAAAAACCAGCATGATTCGCGGTCACAGGTGCCTTGGGGCACCACACTGGAGCCTTCCAGAACAAACAAAGATGTCATAGAAGATATCAACTCTCCAGAACAGTAAGTAATGTAACATGTATCTCATCAGAAATCAGAAGCAAGTTTCCCCATCATTATTGTTTTTAATGTTAAAATCAAGACTGTCTCCCAAAAGCCATCTTCTATTATTTGTCAAGTAATTTGGCTTATCATTCACTCATATTATACATTTAGCTATGTGTCCTCAACTGTAACTATATCTCAATACTGTGACATTTAACTCAGAACAATGAACAGCACTGCAACTATTTAATTGCTGACTAAATCACCGGTGAAGCCTTTTTCTACATCTTTGTACCTTGACAGGAACTCAAATAGCTAGACAAAGATGGTTTGGCTATTAAATATTATTACCTAACTCTGCTAACTAAGAAACAGATCAAAACCTCACATTCATTAGCAGACCTATCAGCTTCAATAACATTAAGGAACTGTTCCATTTCAGTGACATCCACGAGATAATCTGTATACTGATGACCTCGAAATCTCCTACCAGACCAGCCTTTCTTTCTGCCTCTGTGATAGGTGATGACTGCAACGTTTGTGATTTCATTTTGAGATGCTTTAGTATGCCCTGGTTCATGTGTTGCATCAGAGCCACACTGAGGAGGAAGTAGTTACTTTTGATAACCCTACTTTGGAGCTGCTGAATGCTGACACATTTACTTGAATTAAGGTAGCACTGGTAGAACGTTTCCATTAATGTATATACTTTAAAGTGTGTTACAAGATTAGAATAAAATTATTTTATAACCAACTTGATGCTCCTTCTAACATTAGCCTAAGAAGTGTGATGAATAGAAAGTACATTCAGGTAAGGATATTAATAGCATCTAACAGTCTCCTGAAAACTTCTTTAGGGGCTAGAGGACTAAAGTCCTGCACACCAAGGATAGCACAGGGATGTCCAACTTGATTTTGCTTTAAGAGAATTTGTATGAGGCCACGATAAGTGAGAATGTTGTTTATGGCTTCAGAAAACCCTTTGCTCTGGTGCTGATCTGTGCTCAATCAGCTGACAGTCAATTCAGTGCAGGAGCTGGCAAGTTTCCCACCTGTGTTTCAATGAAGCCTAAACCTAGAATGATAACATGATATCAACACAACTCAGGGTTTAGCCAGTCCAACACCCATTTTGGGTTGAAGCTGAATTCCTGACAGGAATTTTCAGTTACTGCCAGCCCAAAAATGTTCAGAGTGCATTTTAAATGACTTGTGTACAAGTCTCCCACAAGCGTGGGATTCATCTTCAATTAAATAATGCTCTTGTACCAAAATGAAAAGGACAAGGTAGCATTTTACCTGAGTGACCAAGAATCTAAGCAATAAAGGTGACTTCACTGGGAGAATAGATAACAATTTAAAGTAGCAGTAAAGGGGAGGAATGTAATTAGAGCAAATGAAAATAAATTCAATGAAGAGACAAAGATGCCATCCCTATAATAGTGGAAACATGCGCTAACACTGTGTGCAAACACAAAATTTATCTCTGCTGTTATTGATCCTATTGATAATCTATCTCTGCAGACAATAATCAAAGAATATTCAGAGGATCAAGCCAGCATGTTTCACCACCAATGACTTAATAGAAACAGTACTCAAACAGACTTTATAGTTAATGATCTCACCCTTACTAAATTTTAGCATATAGTCAACAAATAATGATTAGTAACTTTTTATTCTGCTTTACAGTATACAACGCAGACTATCTTTGCAACTACCAATTCTTCATCATGCGTATCTGCCATCAATAGGTGGAGTTGATGCTAGTTGTGCCAGTCCGTGTGTTAGTCCGAATGCCAGCCCTCGGCACAGACATGTGCAGCCATCATTTCGAGTCATGGTTTCCGGCCTGTAAAGAAGAGGTTTCGTAGCCTGAACTGAAGAGCACTCAGTGTTTGGACTGTGTCCTCCACCTAGTTCTTTGCTACGTACACACCGCACGCTCTCCCTACCGCAGAAGAATAGGCATTTGAAACAGACACTACTGAGTTCCTGAGCCAGTTTGTGTGGTCATGGGGAGATGTCCTGAATCTGACCTGTAGCCTTATCTGTGAAGTTTTTGTTTCTGCATAAACTGGATGTACGTTTCCTTCCCAGAAAGAATGACAGGTTTTCTTAAGGAAGCAGGGACTGAAGGTTTATCAAAACTGCACAATTTTTTTTTTTAATGTCACAATCACAAAGGGAGAAATTTGAATTGCTATGCAAAATTTGATATATAATAATGGTTCACACATTAAACGAAATCCAGCATATAAATTTTAATTGTAGCATAAAAGCAAATATTTTCACTATTTCTGCACCTGAACAAACAAATGAAACATCTTGTACTAAAACCCCCAGGCAAATGTTGATATGAAGAATAAAACTTTGTAAAACGTATGTCCACTATAGAAATGTATTTCTATTGTAGAAACATAAGCCTGGTTTTGGAAGATACATTCTGTTAAGTCACAGGGGTCTTTTGAACATGGTAAGTGGACAGTATATAGAATGGTGTAGAAATGGTTTTCCTACCATTTTGATAAAAATGAAGGTTGCCAGTTAAAAATAGTACATCTTACTTGCATCCTAAGCCTTTGTTATGATAAGATTTGTTAAAGCTTGCTCACAAGATGATTTGATGATTTCTGGTTTGGAGTATATTTCTAATACTACAGAGCGAAACTGGAGTGTGCTTATCAAGTCAAAACCCGAGCGTTACCGCTGGACATGTAGATGCAGTCAGTTCCTAATTGAACAGAAGAATCAAACAAATGATGTGTTTTCCTTGGTTCAAGAACAGATAGTGAAAGTTAAACAGGTTTGATATAGATGTATGTCACTCTCCATCTCCGTCTTCCTATATGCCTTTCTGTATTTTTATTTGGCTATCTCACTCTATGTACATATTCATTATGTCCTCGGTCAAAATACCACATAGGACTAAATGAAGAGCTGTCACATGTGAAAAAATGTTTTCATCATTTCCCCCTCAATTGTCATCAGTAGCCAATCTGCTGAACCTGAGCAAAGAAGAAGGAATTATTGTGTTGTTGTGATATGTTTGGGTAGTACAAAAAGATGAAACAAAAATCTGTTTTGAAGCTAAAATACAAGGTGTACGAAGAAAAATATAATAAGTGCAAGTTGAGCTTTTGCATAACTTGTGACCTTTATCATCAGCTGACAGGTGTCTGAAATGTTCAGAAACTTGTCATTCTGCTTGACAATCTCCAACTAAGTCAGATATGTTCTCATAGGTAGCTTCTGTTCATCTGATATACAGCACACATTTAGTGCCTCTAGTGTCTCACCCCATTTCCTTACACTCATAGAATTTCAAAGCAGGTGAGTAACATCAAAGGTTTAGGGACCTCCAAAAGTGTAGCAGGACTCCTGGGGTTTTTAAAATAAGCTAGAACCTGCACTTTGTCAAAGTTGACATTAAACATCCAACTGTTTATGAACATAGAACTATGGTAAGTTTCCAGTTATTTGTCCAGCTGGGACTATCCTTCCTGTGAGGACAGTATTTTGCCGAATTATCTGGGTACAAATATGAAGAATCCCAATGCCTATGACAACTATACTCCATTAGGTTCCCTTAGTGAGCTGAATTCACAGACCAAGCAGTTGCATCATTTTGGAGGATTTTGAAACTACCTGGCTCTGGTATGAATTTCCAAGTATGTCTCAGTGAACTGACTTTGTGTTATCTCCTGTTCCTATGTATCATCTTGGATTTAAATTAGATCCCTACAGGATGCTAACTTACACCTCCTTCAAGAAGGATAGTGCCCAGTTGAGGTGGCTGACAAGTGTGGGCTTCAGCCCTCATTCATAGACTACATATAGCAGGCACTTGCCTGGACTGGCATGGAGAAGCATCTAAATGGGCAATTGGTGCTTTACTGCTACCATAGCTGTCAATGGTTGTATATCAGAACTTAGATTCTGTCTGTGTTCAAAAGGCTCCATTGAAGCTTGGGTTTGCACTTCCCTGAGCCAGATTTGTAGTTCTGTCAATGTTGCACAGTCCTGTGTTCATCAATGTCAAAGGAGCATGCTCAATGCACTGATAAACCAGTAATAATAAGCTTTTAATTAACATTGTGAAGAAAATGCTGTTTTCTGGTATTCTGAATGGTAAATACTGGCTGTTAATGTGTTTCCCTGCCTCCTTAACTTTTAACCAGGTTAATTTTTGAAGACAGTTCATCATATGGAAGGAGGACTGACTACTGTATATAATGTATACACAAGTTCTCTGTAGAAATATTATTATAATATAGCAGGAAAAAACAAAAAAAAAAAAGTATTGGACTTGGAGGTGAGCGTGTGTATCTGTGACTGTCTGTGAATACTGACTGTGTGCAGTTTATTAGGTTTAAACCATGCAGTACATTTCTGTCTTAATGATACCGTAGTTCTTTCCCATAAGGAAACATTTTTATTTCCTGCTACTATCAAAGACTCACAAAGTAATATAGTTATTTAATGTTTCTGTTCTTTTATACAGCAGCAAAAAAGGGTAAATTTATGGAGAAGGCTGTGTCCCAATGGCATTTCCCAAAACATATTCGTGCACAAATGCTTTAAACTAGACTGGAATTGCCAGGATAAACTGTAAATGGACAGAAGGTTTCTTGTACCCTTATACTGCATGAATCAATTTTTAATAAATTGTTGCAAATCTGTTTTTATGAATAAAATACAAAAACTCAAGATTTTGTGTACTGTTCTGTGGAATAACCTGACTCTTCCAGATCTAAGAAAGGTGCATGCTGGGTTCTTGCTGGTTCACATATTGCAGCACTGCTCAAAGACTGCTGTGGGGAGTGATTACTTTCGTACTGTGAGCTCCTTACAACAACCTGACTCAAACAGTTAGATCACAAAGAATAATATTCCCTCTGACAAAAATAGGTCTAGTTCCATGAAAAAAAATACCTACACTTATCAAACAAGTGAATTATTACATTGAAAGATCCTCAACATTCACAATTAATTATCCAAATTTGATATTGTTATGGTTCCTAACAAACTTGGTTTGGGAGGACATCTGCTTCCCCAGTATTGAGTGACATGGTGACTCAATAGTTAGCACTACTGCCTTACAACACCAGAGACCTGAGTTCGATTCCAGTCTCAGGTAACTGTGTGTGGAGTTTGCACATTCTCCCCGTGTCTGCGTGGGTTTCTTCCCACAGTCCAAAGATGTATAGGTTAGGTGGATTACCATGCTAAATTGTCAACAGTGTCCAGGAATGCGCAAGGTAGATGGATTAGCCATGGAGATGCAGGGTTACAGGGTCTGGGTGGGATGCTCTTTTGAGTGTCAGTGTGGACTCAATGGGCTGAATGGCATGCTTCCACACTGTAGGGATTCTAAAAATAATTTTAACAAAGTGATTTGAGACCAAACATCTGTTTAGCTCAGCCTAAATTATATCGAAAAATGGCATCTCCAGAGCCCTCTGGGATGGAGAACTTGGAAGGTTCACAACCCTAAGTGTAGAACACTTTCCTGATTTCAGGTCTAAAAGATCGACTTCACCCTAAAACTGTGCCCCTTTGTTCTAGATTCCTCACTAGGGGCAAAAAACAGCCCAGTATCTATCTAGTCAAGTCCCATCATAATCTTGAATACTTCAATAAGATCATTTCTCATTCTTGTAAACACCATATAACATAGATAACAAGGTGTAGAGCTGGATGAACACAGCAGGCCAAGCAGCATCAGAGGAGCATGAAGGCCGACATTTCGGGCCTAGACCCTTCTTCAGAAATGCTGGCCTCTCATCATAGGATGACCCTCTCAGCTCAGGGACCCATGTAGTAAACCTTTGCTGGACTACCACCAATGCACGTGTATCCTTCCTTAAATATAGATGTCAAATTTGCACACTGGCAAAATATTTTCTGTGGCATACTATTCCTAACAGCAGAACACCACTTTTTTTTTTCCCTGGTTTTGCTGGTTTCCACGTGATTATACATATCCCCTGCACTTTATACCTTAACTGTAATTACATGACGGGGAGGCATTTCTGGTAAAATCTACCATCACTTCAGGCTGCCTAGTCCTACTCTCACCACTGGCCACCTCAGACTGCCTGCTCCTGCTATCACTGCTCGCCACCTTGTTAGGGGAGAACTTTGCAGTCTGCTCCCTCTCTGATTTCTTAGTCCTAGAGTCTCCCACGAAGGAATATCTTTTTACACATCCAATCTGTCAACATCACTCAGCATCTTATATATTTCAATTTAGAGGCTTCTTACTCTTCTAAACTCCAGCAGATACAAGCCTCGCCTGTCCAGTCTTACCTTAAAAGATGTAAAAGAGTATTGTCTAGTAAACCTTTTTTTCAACTGCTTCCAACACATTTACATCCTTATGAAAGAAAAGTACTGTAAATGCTGGAGATCTGAAATTAAAATCGTGTGCTGGAGAAACAGCAACTGTGGGGAAAGCAACAGAATCAGAGGGTGGAATCTGACGGGGGTCTGAATGATGTGTCACAGATTTGGATGTGATGTTTGGTGAGGTCCATCTTGATGTCGAGACATCGTTCTACCTTTACTATTTCAGAAGCAGCGTGACGAGATTCTCGCCAGCCAACGACGTGTTACCAATCCGAAGGAGGATTACTGGACCCAAAACATTAACTGTGTTCTCTCCAAACATGCTGCCAGACGTGCTAAGTTTTTCCAGCAATTTCTATTTTTGTTTGAGTTTTTTTTTGCTGAAATTAACACCTATTAGGCTTGTTGACAGCCCAACTCACCTCATTAATATTTTGTTTCTGACCTCGCCAAACTCACCTACCTTGGGAAAAGCTGGTATTAAAACCAGAGTAGGCACTTGATCACATGCCCACTTCCACTGAACCTCCATGTTGCCCACTAGCAAACTCCAGCCCAGGCCAGGATCAACAGGCACCAGGTGCATATGTAATTGTTCCATGAACAATGATGTCTGATACTCAGTAAATCTTTGCTATCAACCTGGCATCTCTATGATGCACTTGCAATGTATCCTGGAATCCCAGACTTGGAGAAAAAGGCCCATCCACAACCAGCAGTACACACTGCATCGGGTCCAGTTACCGGCTTGGACCTGGCTGCCTACCAGAGCTGATTGCCTTCAGAATGGGTATTTAACTTGCACCTACTGGCATGCTCAGAGACATAACTTGCCTTGCAGTGCCAATTGGCACAGTCACAGAACCAGGCAGCTGCCCATGCAGCTCAGTTGTCCTTGGGCAAAGGTGTGAACATGTTGTATGTCAGTATGCCAGTGTCACATTTGTGTCCACATGACAACAGTGTTCATGCCGAACATCTGCAGCAAGCAGTTGGCAATATCATCTCAGGAGGGGGTGGGTGGGCTGAGTAGTCAGTCTCGGACATGTGCAGCCACCAGTCAGGGTCTGGTCTCGGCTGGCACAGGCTGATCAGGTCACTCGAGAGGCTGGACCACAGCTGACCCATCAGGTGGCTTCGTAGAAACTAAATGGGAAGGTGGGGGAAGGTAGGGAGTCGTAGGCATGTGGGCTTGCAATGAGGACCTGGAAAACTGAAAAGCCTGTGAGGTTAACACAATAGTAATGACTGCCCAAATGCTTCTGAAGCCACTTTACATCTTCCTTGTGGTAAACATTCCTGTTCAGCTTTGTATCATCTGCAAATTTGGAAAAATTACATTGAAATTATATTAAAATTGGAAAAAAACATAAGTCTCCACATCTAACCATTTATTGTATTGTGAAGTGCTGAGGCTCAAGTAGTGATCCTTCTGGTACCCCATTAATCAATGCCTGTCAATATAAGAATGACCTGTTTATTCCTACTCTGTTTTCTGCCTTAATATACACCAGTACACTACTTCCATCTCTTCTACTTTAGTTTTACTAAACATCTTTCTTTGGGGAACCTTATCAAAAGCATCCTGACAATCTGAAATTAATACACAGGAGTGACCTCATTGAAATCTACAAAGTACTTAAAGGGATAGATAGAGTAAATGCAGTGAAGATGTTTCCTTTGGCATGGTCTCAGAATACTAAGGTGGGAAAGAATGTCTTCACAGGACAGTAATGGATCTTTGGAATTCTCTAACCCAGAAGGTCATGGAAGTTCAATCATTGAGCACATTCAAGAACATTAAATCGATATCGTTCTTAAGGCTAATGATATGGCAATAGTGCAGGGAAGGGGCACTGAGATGGATAGTCAGCGATGACCTAATTGAATGATGCTGCAAGCTGGTTGAATGGCTGACTCCCATTCCTTTGGCAGGGGCCCAAGGAGTCAGTTGGTCATGTAGCCAAGAAGCACCTCTTCAAAATCTGATTTCAGAAGACACTGTTGCCTCACAGTGCCAGAGACCCAAGTTCAATTCCACATTTGGGTGACTGTCTGTATGAAGTTTGCACATGCTCCTCGAGGTGCTCCAATTTCCTCTCGCAGTCCAAAGATACGCAGGTAAGGTAGATTGGCCATACTAAATTGTCCATAGAGTCTAGGGATGTGCGGGCTAAGTGAATTAGCCACAGGAAATGCAGGGTTACAGGGATTGGGTGAAAAGCTCTTCAGAGGGTTGGTCAATGGGCCAAATGGCCTGCTTCCATACTGTAGGGATTTTATGTCTAATTTCAGTTTTGGGCTAACTATGACAATTCTATGAATTGAAAATTCCCATTTCAGCATTTCCTACCATACCACTAGCCCTACCAAATTTGCAAAATGATGACATCATCAGCTGACACCAGAAATTACTATGATAGTATGAAACTGGGAGAGGGAACATCAGAAAAAGCAAGTGGCTGTTCTGGCCCTAGGCCTGCATCTTCATTCAAAAAGATCATTGCTGATGTGATTGTGGTCTTAACTTCACCTTCCTGCCTGCCACTCCAAGCACCATGCATTCCCAAAACCACCAACCACCCTGACCCCCTAAAATAAGAAAACAGAAAGTTAGGGTCTGTGTTGATATTATAAGTCATAGGGAGAGGAACGTTTGGGGCTGACAGCGATTTCAGAAAGGTAAGCAATACAAAATTCCACAGGACAATGGTGAAGGGAACAAAGGTTTGTGCTTTGTGAGCATGCACACAGGTTCAGGAGATTTGGTCGTGGGTGGCAGTGGGCGAGAAAGACTGAAATAGTTCCTTCTAATTTCTACCATTCCATGTAAACTCTCCTTTATTGATTCCAAGCCTATAAAATGGTTTAAGGAATGTTAGCACTGAATTAAGTTTAAGATCATGTGCTCCCCTTTCGCATGATCACTGTGTGGTTGGTTTTAACACATGAAATTCAAGCAAATGCATGAATGAGGCTCTCAGATCAGATGTGTTACGCTCATGAAGAACTAAAGGCCAAGGAAATAGATAGGGTCAGACAAGTAATAACATTTGCAAGTGTCAAATGGTCAGATCCACCCTCCAACAACCAGAGCTGACAAACCTACATTTAGCTCACTGGCATTTTTAATTACAATTTTGAAAATGTTCACATGGGAGGGAATTAGGTGCATCTCAGATACACCTTTTCTGCTTTAATGAAGTTACAATCCTGATTGCTCCTGATTTCGTTTGCAACTCAAGCTTTGTTGCATCCAGAATACCAATTTACGTGGTTTTCGACACCAAGCATCTACAGGTACTTCACGTACAAATCTAATCTCCTATTAGGGTATGGGGGAAAATAATAGTTTTCTCATCAAATCCACACACTTGATTTGTAACTGCTTTAATTCTCTTTTGATTTGCTCTAATATTTCTGCCAGCAGATACAATGCAGGGTGTATACATGGCACTTCATAAGAGCTATTAATAGGTACTTCAAGTTGGCTTTCTTCTCTTATAAAATGATAATATACTCAAGTCTTTTGAACACTGAATCTCCTTTACAGCACATATTAGTTATTTTACATTTAAAATTAACGAACTTTTAAAATAATAGAGAAAAATGCAATCCATTGTGAGCTAAGAGTCAAAATTTAGCCTGTTTCTGCAGATCATTCCCATCTGTTTACATTTAGTTGATCAGCCTGGCTGCTGATCAGAAATATATTCTGAAACCCTGTGGTGACATCATTCCTCTGCAGGGTATACACAATCTAAGATATAGAAATGTCAGTTTGTTAAAGTCTTTGTTAGACTCTGAAACAATTCAAAATAAGACCAGTTTGTACCAGAACTGATACATTAAGAAAAGGTTACAAAATTTATATGGCATTTTTTTTACCCCAAGGAAGTCTGAAATTTTATAAATAACAAAGATCTTTGAACAGTGAAAGTTGCATCTTTTGAATGGCAAATATATTTTAGCAAATGATGCCACTTATATCAAAAGTGTACAAAAATGATTTAATGTCAGTCTGAAAAATTGGAAATAAAATAGCTTTAAGCAATTTCTTTCGAAGGCGTGCTTTTCAAACTATGCTCACCTATTCCACTTAGAAGCGCCTCAATGTCTTGACATTCTTCTGCCAACGAGAGGTTTCCTGGAGATCACACAGGCAAGGATCATCCATGTGATTTCCTCAAAACCACTATTTGAGACTTGCAAAGACACTGGAGATTGAAACACTGGAGCGATTACTAGGTAATAAACTATACTCTAAGAGGAGGTCATAAACTCCGACTGTTAAACCTGAGCACATTACAATAATTTCATCCCAAATTATTGAAATCACTTTTATGGTTGTAAAACATATCTCATGCAATTTGTTGGAACAATCTTAATGTGTTTAATCTATTAGCAGCCATTATGGTAGGTACAACAAACATGATACATGATGGTTACTGAATGGTGGGACTAAACATTGTAATAGCACCTACAAGTTCTTTTGCAAAGGAACGTATTTTATTCTGAGCAGAGTCAAATATCACATCAGTATCTCCAAATGTGATCATGGAGCACCCTCTGTTGGCTTGCTATATTTGCTGCAAAACTGCAGCTCATGTTGTGCCCTCTATAGAGCAACTCTATAGGAAAAAAGGGCTAATGAAAGCCAAGTATTGTTTGTTTGCTGATCACAGTTCAGAATGCCAAAGTACTATTGACATTTTAAACTTTTAATTCCAAGGTATGTTCTTCCTTAAACAAAACAGTTGACGCAGTCAAAAAAGGCTGCAATGAAAACTATGCAGCTATCTGAAGAAAGAGAGACGCACAGACCATCACACAGATGTGAAGGGAACTTCAAATAGTAGCCCTTCAAAGGGGGTGAGGGGTTAATAGCATGCAATTCAAAACAGACTGGACTATGATCTCTTGTGAAAGGTAATAAAGACCCACGACTCCCTGCCCAACAGCAAGCTATATCCCAAAATACAGACCCGTTTTGTGCTTTTCTCTTTGAAGAATACATAAGGGTAAGAATGAAAAATTCAGTTTTATCTTCTACTGGAATGGATTAGTGAGACTAAATACTCATAAGCTAGGCTGGTTTTGAGCATTAATGTGCTGTGCTGGTGACAGTCGAAGAACTATCCCTGAGCTACCCCTGTGCTGCAGGTAAGGCACTCTCTCACTCAGAGTGTCACAAGTCCAATTCAACCCCAGTTGAAAGAAAACTGAACTACAGAATTGTTCATGTACCAACAGTTCATCATGAATCGATTGTTTGTCTACCAATGTCAACGCTATTAGTAACCTCTGCTACAATGGTCACAACATTCAATTATTCATTTATTAGAACATTTCAGAGGCTGATTTTATATTCTTTATTTAAAAAAAAAACTTTTATCTTTTCAGACTCCCTTTATTTCTGCGAGTACTGTTTTACATTCTGTACCCTTCTCACATTTATTAATTGCTCCATCTTTGTTAAAATTAGCTCATATTACAACACAAGTTATTTTGAATCTGGAAGTATCCATTTGAGAAGAGATCCTTTCTAAATTAACCTTGTTGTAACCAACTAAGTGAACAAAAAAGGAAGCCAGTTCATCCCTCCTCACATAAGAGCTTAACAGTTTGTGTAACCTGCCTGGAATCACTACAAATTGGGGAACCTAGCCTGGGGTCTGGTTGTATCATGATGTATTATGCTTCAATGATAATATAACACCACAATAAAATCAATTTTGTTGTTATGAAATATAATTTTGTGATGTAGCACTCTGTAAAAAAAAAACTGTAGAACACAGCATTGTCCTCATGACCAATTTCTCACCCCTAACTATGCTGCAAAGATAAAACTCTCAATAGATCCTCTGGATTCCAGAGGAAGAAGGAAAATAATCAGATGTCAAACCTACCATATATTTTACAGAGCTGAACTAACACAAATAAGTCAGAGAATGAGTTTAACAAAATGACACCTGGTTTGGAAGTTCCTAAAGAGAAGCCAGAAAGCGCTGAAAGGTTGTGCGTACAAAAGCCTGCACCTTTCGGGTAGAAACAAGAACTGTAATTTTGAACTGAACCCAGCAATTTATTTTAAATCTGAACAGAAGAAGTTACTTTGTTACTTGTAGCTCAGAGAGTGCTCCTATTACAGTGTAATGAGCTGGTAGATGACTACAAATAGCAATCAATATAATACAACTCCACAACGAGTACCTGTTGATGGAGGTCTAATTATTTGCACTATAAACTGTTAAACAGTTAGAAAAATGTGTTTGAAATGTGCCGGCTCTGATGACACCAATTGTGTTGAGAAACCATTTAATTGATGCTGTTGACTTCTGTACTGCAACAATTTGAGGAATTATTATTTGTTCGATGAATAATAAAAGTCTTTGCAAATTACATTTGTAACACAGTTTTCAATGGACATTTTTCACACCTTTATAAAAGATGCACTGTCCTGTGCTTCCCATTTGCCTGCGCATGAATTGTTGGGAAGTCAGAGAAAAGAAACAAACACCCTTCAAAAGCTCTTACATTAAAATCTACATCATAAAGGAAAGCTGGAGCCCGTTTTATTCCCTCTCTAAGGTCTGACTTGCTCAGACAGGCTACTATTCTTAGCTTCATCATCTGGCAGTGCAAGGGAGTATTATTACATAATATTATGGCAGACTAGCACAGGGAATATCCATTAACACACTGTAGAAAAGACAAATGAAGATACGTGCATTTGCAAAGTCAACAAACACTTAAAGCCAAGCTTTAAAAAAAGAATTAGAACAACATTCAAAATCTTGAAGCAGCAGTTGATTTCTTCTGCACCTGAAACAATGTGATATCTGTCCATTGAGCTGTATAGCAAATGGATCACTTGCATTTTAGCAAGAAAATGTCACAAGGAGTGAAATTTAGAAGACTGCAGATTGAAGAGCTCCATAACAGTTAACATTTCTGGAGTAACTAGTTTCATTGGTTTTTAATAAATAGTGTCCAGAATGTAAAAGGTTCTTCAGTAACAGTTACAGAAACAAGATTTCTTATTTATTGTCAGAAATGTAAAAAGACAGTCTGAGGCTGGAAACAGGATTAATAGCTTGATAGAGTAATGTTGGGTTCAATTAAATACATTATGCCGAGAGCCATTTCTTTTAACAGAATGGGAAAAGGACTGTTTGTCTATATACAGAGCTAATACAAGAAGGAAAATAATCCAGATTGTGTTGAGATGATGTTAAAATTTGCAAAAACTGAATGGAAATTGCTATAAATCCCATTTTGAACACCAAAATTGTGGAACGTCATTCTTTTTCAAAACTCACCATGGCTTTCATATTAGAAACCTCAACTCACTTTCTTATAAATAGTGTAAACCTCCATTAATACATTATTGTAAACAAATTGTATTCCTTTACACTTTTCAGTTATTGCTAAGTTTCTTGACAACAGACACAACACTGCAGAAAGAAATATTGTACCATGTTGTTTCAATTGTTCTCTTCCACAAAGCTGTTGACTAATGGGCTTAAAATAAGTCCTGTAAGCTAGGAGCACGACAGCTCCAGAATTCTGTGCTGTGCTTTTGTTCTACATTTGCTGCCTTTTGTATACTAGAATAATGTTTCTCTGCAATCATAGTACAATTTTCTTTTGGTTAGTTAACATTACTTTCCTGAAATTGGAAAACTGTTACAATTTTTGATGGCGTTTTCCCCATCAGAAATGCAGCAAATCGTAACATAAATATTCTTGTATTTCAAATTAAAGGGATAATCTGTTAACATTGCAAATATTGATACTGTGATCAGTGCTACAACTTGCTAGCTGTAACCAGTTGCTGTCATTCTCATCATCATAACCTGCTCTTCCCACAGATCGTCTCCACCGCAGCCGCTTAACAGTTAGGGTATGGCATTGTCTGAAACAAAGGCAGTTAAGGGAGGTAAATAAGAAACTAGTTTGGTCATAAATAATAAACTGATCAGAAATGATGAGTATGAATTCCATTATTCATATAATTAGTGCACTATGATTCAGTATTGTCAGCTGGGAGACTGACTTGTCAAAACATTCAGGTGCAGAACACAGTAGAATTACCATCGTTATTAGCAGTAATGACAATTTATCATCCTGTTTGCAATTTACCGTACTTGAAGCTGCATATCAAATTGAAGTTTGAATACATCATTAGACCTACAAATGTTTGGTCATGATGAGATGTGTGGCAACAACTTTTTTGAAGATTTATTTTACAGAAATTTCAACAGCATTGGGTTTATTCACTTTAATCATTTTGCAGAATTTTAAAAAAAGTTTTCAAATTATTTATTTATCCAATTCACTTTTAAATGCCAATATTAAGTTGGCCATTTAAATTGCCACTATTCATAATACATTCTACAGCTTTGCTGCTTCCAGTACCAATCTTTCTGATCCCCCTCACATACTCCCTCACCTGTTTATTATTGATGTACCCAAGAATTTAAATCTTTCAGAGTTTAGAGCACTTCTATTAGATTCCCTTCTTAATATTTAATGCTATAACGAATGCACTGAATAACACTGGAAATCTACTGAGACTGAGACTGAGACTAGTCAAACTGACCCGCAGCCAGCCATCGTGGGCATAATGTAGTAAATTGACTCCTACTATGCTGGATCAATTTTATTATTCTTCTGTATAATCTACGTGCCATCCATTTGAGTATCTTCTACTGATTCTACACTACATTTATTGCATGGCTAAATATCCTACTTATAGAGTCATAACGGGATGATACAAAGATAGGTGGAAAATAAATTTATAACATCATCATCCAGGCTTAGGCTGATAAGTGGCCAAAAATATTCATGCTACACAAGTTAGATCCAATGACATTACTATGACTGAATCCCCAACCATCAACATTCCTGGGGATTACCACTGACCAGAAACTGAAATGAACCAGCCATGGAGTTAATGTGACTATAAGAACAGGTCAGAGAAATTCTGCAGCTAGTAACTCACCTCCCATCTCCCCAAAGCCTGCCCATTATCTACAAGGCCCAAGTTAGGAGTATGATGAAACACACTCCCAGTTGCCTGGATAGGTGCAGCTCCAACAGTGAAGAAGCTCAACACCATCTAGGACACAGCTGCCTGCTTGATTAGCATTTTGTCCATCACCTTTGACATCCACTCCTTTCACCACTCAAACAAGCTAGTGGTAGCCAATACCATTACAAGATGGTAGCTTACCACGGTTCTTTCAATAGCACCTTCCAAACCTGCAATCTCTTCTGTCTAGGACAAGAGGTGCATGGGAAGCACACCATGTACAAGTTTCCCTCCAAGACACACATCATCCTAATGTGGAAATATATCACTGTTCTTTCACTGTCGCTGGGTCAATATCCTGGAACTCCACTTCCACCAGCAGTGGGAGTGTTCCTACACTCCAAGGACTGCATTGGTTCAAAACCACAGCTCACAACCATCTTCTCCAGGGCAATTAGTGATGGGCAATAAATGCTGGCATTGTCAGCGATGCCAAGTTAATGAACAAATAAAACAAAATAAATACAAATAGTCTGTGGAAATTGGTTAAATAGGCAAAAAATTTGGCACTTGGAATATAATGTGAGAAAATGTGAGGCCATTCACAATGGCAGAAAGACGGGAAAAGCACAATATTACTTCAGGTGAGACAGACCCGATATGCTGTACAGAAGTGACCTCAAAATAGGAGAGGTTAGTATACAGGTACAGCAGATAATTAGGAAGGCAAATTGAATATTGCCCTTTCTGGTAAGGGAGGTGGGGTATAGAGTAGAGATGTTTTGCTGTACAGAGGATTGAAAAGGTAACACCTACAATACTGTAGACAACAAGGTGCAGGGCTGGATGAACACAGCAGGCCAAGCAGCATCATAGGAGCAGAGAGGCTGACGTTTCGGGCCTAGACCCTTCATCAGAAAAGGGGG